ACATGAAACGTATGGCATCACTAAATTCTTTCTGTATAATTGTTTATATATGTATATTCCATGTCCCACAATAATGAGACTTCCTCTTAATAAATAAGAATCATAAAAACATGTATTCCAGACTTCTAAAAATGTATAAGAACATCTTGTAGGAGAGATCTTTGGGACTTCCTTATCCCATACTGCACTTTCTGCTGCCCCATACTAAAGAAAACAGAGCTTCCGGCTTCTAGAAAATCAGGAACTGAGGAACCAGCCTTGCTCTGAAGTCAACTCAAAAGCATAATCACCATGGTCCAAATTCACTTACAGTTGATGTACACCTCTGTGGTAGATATATGTTCAGCACACACGTCTCTGAATTCAACTCTCAATACCAGAAAGAAAGAAATTGACTTTACTAAACTTTACCTTTTCTCTCTTTAACTTGGAATTGTGGGGAGTAGGGAGTAGCCTATTTACCTAAAAGTCAGTTGTGACAAGAGGTAATTTGTTTGGGTGACTCCAATGATATCTGGGTCACCTTCCCCGACCCTAAACTGAGCCTCATGTCCCTCTCCCATTCGTTCCCAATCAGACAAGAGACTATGTAAAAGACAAGTAAATTTTGATCAGTGTTCTTGGGAAAAGACTTCCCAGCGCCATCTTAAAGGAGAGTGAATGAATGAGTCTAATTGTTTCTCCTGCTGTTCATGTACATTGTCCATTTTATTCATATATAGCATTGGTGATACATTGTTATGTATAATAATCATATAATGGCACATAGACTCATAAAGACTGGCAAATCTTGATATTAAACACTCAACACTCAAATACAACACTGTTGACATGAGTTGTCTAGGCCTTCTTTCCCACACACCAAACAATATGAGGATTCTTCATGATGAACAAGCCAGGTCCTCTAATTCAATTTCGTTCAGACACTATCCACCTGAAGATAGTGTTAGATCACACAGGTTGAAGGCTGAATCCCACAAGACTTCAGATGTCAATCACAAGCTCCAAGCTAAGGCCTGAGCTGATGGCAAGCAGGCTATAAATCAGGCCTCTCAACACTTCCTCAGACCTGACTGACTTGCTAAGAGCAGCTCACTGAATTCAGGGGAAACATTTACTAGTTGCTATAAAGGACATTATAAAGGAGGTGGATTAAACAGCCAGGTGAAACCGATGCATAAGACAAGCTATGGGAGAAGGGTATGAGCTCCTGAACCTGTCCAGGTGCCAAACCCAGAATCTCTGGATCCTTTTGGACCCTTCCCTTTGGAGAAGCTTCACTTCCTAAGGGCAGTTGATCATGCCACTAGACATTGATGACCAATAAATATTAAAGTCCTTTCCAGGAGGTCAAGGCTGAAAGTCTCAACCCTTCAATCACACCTTCATCTTTCTAGTGACTAGACTTCTATCATAAAAAAAAAAAATAGTCTTCGAAGGCCCCGCCAGGCATTGTTGCATTATCCCATGAAAGAGCCTCTCATCAGTCTGATGATTTCAAGATTCTGTGTGACAGAAAATGGGGTGACACCAAATATATATTTTCCAGTATCCCAAAAAATTAAAATTCTTCATTAGTATGCCCTGATACTGCTGTGTAATAGTAAACTGACATCTTAGGTAATAAGGAGATTGTTGTAATAAACTATCAGATAACAAGATTGGCTTATCAAGAAATCTTAATATAGGAAAGTACCAAAAGTAAAAAGAAAAACTAAGGTGTCTTCATTCCCTGCCTGCTCTAGCCTGGCTTAGTTTATGCCTCATATCCTGGCACAGTTAAAATGCTCACTTTTCTCTCAAAAATGGAGCTACGTGGGCAACTGTTTCTTCAACATCACTCTACGTAGAAATTGAAATGATTCCTGTTCTTATTCACTGTCAACTGCTGTGATGTTGAATCTAATTGTTTCTCCTGCTGGTCATGTCTACTGACCATGACCAAAGCTACTTGGGGAATAAAGGGATTATTTGGCTCATGTATGCCAGATCATGATCCATCACTGAAAATAATCAGAGTAGGAACTCAAAGCAAGAACCTGGAGACAGGAACTGAGGTAAAGACCGTGGGGAAGTGCTACTTACTGGCTTCTTTTCCATGGTTTGCTCTGCTTGCTTTCTCATACAACCCAGGACCATCAACCCAGGGTAACACTGACCAAAGGAAGCTGGGACCTCCCACATCAATTGTTAATGAAGAAAGTGTCCACAAGATTTGTTTGCAGGCCATCTGATTAAGGCACTTCCTCAGCTGAGATTTCCTCTGCCCAAATGATCCTAGTTTGTGTCAAATCGCCAGATCAAAAAAAAAAAAAACAAAGAAGAAAAAACTAACCTGCAAAATTCCTAAGCATTCCTTAACAAAGAAATGCTAAAGCTTTTGAAACCAATATTATATACAGAGGTGCACCAGACATCCAGCTTTCAAACTCCCCCGTTATGAAAGAGTTAATAAGCATTTTAACTTTCATGGCTGTTAAGTATGAAGGACTCATCCACAGACAAGATTACAAAACTTCAGACATAAATGTGGAGCGTGGCCTTGCAACCTAGATTTGGAAATGTCCCATTCTAGATCTGCCCCCAATCACAGGGATCCATGAGAGAACCACAGTGATTCAGCATTTCTAAGGCATTCATTAAAATGTGCTTGCATGCAGCAGAACCAGAACAAGGGAAGGTCCAAGTACATAGATATTAAAATCAAAAGTTCTTTTAAAAAAAAAAAGCAAGGATAGGGGAATTCTGTACTTTCTCACTGTAACTTTTGTAAAGCAGCTAAGCTGGCAAGTGTGTCTGCTATTAAGCAAGTCATCCTAAGAGCCAGTGGAAGACTTGAAACATGTCCTACTGACCAATCCACAGAAGCTTAAAGACACAGTGGAAAAGGAACTCAGAGACCGCAAAAGGAAAAGTCAGAGAACCACCAGATCAGATTGTTACTATAAAATCTAACCCAGGCTCACCTCAGAATCTTGCTTATGTCATCTCTGTGTCTCCTGGAGAATAAATATGACTTTTTCATCCTTGTGACCCCTATGATCTCTTAGCTGTGAACCTTTACCATACAGCTTTGCATATGAGAAATATACAACAGATGTCTATTGAATTGAGTTAATAAGAAAAAAAAGACTTTCAAATATCATTTATGTCTAAATATTCTTTTCAAAAGTAGAAATGAAACCAGGCTACCAGGGTGAGGGGAGTCAAGAAACTTAGTCACTCCAACAGCAAGCTAGTACACCACAGGAGAAATCCATCCATCTACATAAGTGTCAGGTAAAAGGTCAACAGACCTTATTATCATAAAGTCAGACATATACCGTTAATCACACCCACAAACAAAGCAGACGTCTAAGGCTAGACCATAGGACAAGCATTAGTCATAACATTCAAAGCCTAAATTAAAAAGAAGTTTCACTGAAATCTTTTTCAGATCTCAGTGTGGAGAGCTTAGACCTTCCTTAAAGCAGGCTTTGAGACAGCTTTGGGCTTCCTCCAGCACCCTGTACGAAGGCCCTAGAGTTTAAGAACTATAAACAAGTAACACAACCCATGCTAAGTCAGGAGACCTAGCATAGGGGTCACTCATAAGGGAAACGAGCTAGTCCTCACTGCACATGATCAAGGGGGCCTGGGGCATCTCTTCCTTAAGACAACATCCATTCCTTCTATCCTTAAGACATGAAGTGTTAGTTTCTCCAGTAAGCCATAGAAGCCTGAGCAAAAGGCCTGCTAGAGGAGAAGCTCATAGTCTCAGCCATGGTGGGCAACAAGCCCCTTCAAAATCACGCAAAGAAGGCTAACGAGGTTAGCAAAGTTATTCGGTATAAAGGCTGCTTCTTCTCAGGGACTTCACTTGTTTTAAAAATAGTAACAATTAACTGTTAAAACTTAATAGCTGCTTTAAGCCTTGAGAAGAGTTGTGTGACAGCCTTATACCCCTACCTCCCCATTTATGAAATGGGGAGAGGCATGATGGCCCTTACCTGTGTTTCAGAAAACCAAGCACGCAATGACGCAAACCACAGAAGCACTGCCTAAATTCTACATGTTTAACCAGCTCTGTTCTTGCCAACTGAACAGAGACAGTTCAGAAGGAAATATGTAACCTTATTATCATAAAGTCAGACATGTGCAGTGAAACCATGCCCACAAAGAGAACAGCCTGTTTTCTGTGCCTAACAGAGAGTGAAGTCTCCACTACCCCACTGTGTAGACTTGCTTGAGACCCAAAATATCATTGGTTCAAACAATAAGATCCAGGAGCCAGGATTCTTTAAACTCTTGGGACATTAGATACTTTAGTCTTAGTTTAAGTATCTTTCTCAAGCTCCAGGGCCACTTTCACAACCAACCTAAAAGTAAAACAAATGTTCATCATCGATGCAGAGTGTCCCCAAGGACGATGTCAATCAAAACTGGTCTATATCTTATATAACTCATTGTTTTCTGTTCTTCATAGTCTCATGAAATGCTAAATTGTTTACTGACAACATATCATAGCAATGCCCCATCCCCAAATGCCCAATTTAAGAACTAAAGTAAACTTAAATGCAAGTTCTGCATGGAAAGCCTGCTGGGGAAACTACAGCCACACTACCTCTCAGAGAGGCCTTCTGTATACAGACTGCCAGCAGTTTTTATCTCCTGGGAGGTAGATTCCTGTACCTTTACATAAAGGCTCCCAGAAACAAGTCAGAACTGCAAACAAGTTCACTCTATTGTTTAGTGCCTAGATTCCTGAGAGACACTGGGACCCAGTTTGTCACAGGACATTTGAAAATGCTCAGATTCCATATCAGTCAAAGAAACAATCAGTAAACCCTGTCCTGGTCGATCCCAAGTTAATTCCCTCTAGTTTCTCTTCTATCATCGTATTAATTGCTTACTTAATAAAATGCTGCACTAAAATTTGTGAAATCAGATTCTGGCAGAAAATCAAATGGAAAGAGAAGTCTTCATGGCAGCAAGTTGGGCATACTCAGCCTCCTGCCTACCTTATTGTGTTTCTGTTGGTGTCTGGCCTTTGTGTCAAGAACATGATAAGGGCTTTCTGAGTCCTGGTTGATGTAATACACCAATCTTGAAGGCAATGTGATTTCTTTCTGCACTGCACTGCTGGAGCTGGTATTTCTGCTGCTGCTATTCTGTTCCAATGTGTTGTCTTCATCTGCCAGGACTCCCAGGATTTTTTCTGCAGTTTCATTCCAATGCAGACCTAGGGGTGAGGGGTGGGGGGCAGGAAGCACAAATATACACAAACATGCACATATACATCCAGTAAATATATAAGTCATAAAATACATCTTTCCATTAATTACATTAACAAAGTTTTCTATTGCTAAGAAGTTAGGAAGTGGAGACACCAAAAGACAAGTTATTGTAACAGTGGTTTGGCCTGGATAGGTTAGTAGCCAGGGAAGCTTATACAACCGTGTACTGTACTCATGTATACCTTTTCCATCTCCTCTTAGATCTGAACATCTGAACTGTGTAGGGTCGGAGGGCTTAGAGAAGAGTCAGCAACTAACACACTCAAGGGTCCTGACCCTCGTCCCCTCCCCCTTCAGAGGATGCAGCAGCTCAACTATACGCATCCTAACCACCCCATCTCAGAGCTAAGAACACTCCAGACATAACTTGGGGTGCTGAATTCATGGACACTAAATGTAAAGTGACTTTTTCAAATAAAGATATGTATGTATGTATGTATGTATGTATGTATATGTATGTATATATGATATATATATATACACACATATATATGAATGACTCCCATTTCTTTCTAACTTTGAGATGAGCAAAAAAAAAAAACTGTTTTGTCATAAAGGGCTATAGATGCTGGCAACTTTCCAAATTCTTTCTTTTTACTGCCAAGGCCAGCTTTCTGCTTTCAGTGACTTCCAATCACCAGTGTGCTCAACATTGTATTATTCTGATTGCTCATTATGACAAGCATTTTGGGAAAACATAGCCAAAGGTCATGCGCAAAGAGTGTCTTGGAGACTTTCATTCTCTGGTCCCCAAAGTATGCCTCTCTCACCTTAATTCCAACAGCAGGGACTAAACCTGGTGGGAAATTTAAGGGAACAAGCATTTGCCACTATTATTCCATACCCCTCACCCCCTCCTCATTCATATGAAGGTTCCCCAAGGCAAGAAGCAACTTGCTAGCTCACTGCATCTTCCTGTCACTGGAAGTTACATAGAGAGCGCTAAAGGACTCAGGAGCCACCAAATACCTCTGGGTGGAACCCACAGTCATTGAAATGGGTCTTTAGTGAATGCAACAGAAACGGACTTCCAAAAGTGAACTAGCATGAACCTGGGCTTGGGACAGACGAGGGTGGAGAGGTCGACAGGGAGGCGCTCGAAGGCCAGGCTGGGGACCCACACGTCCGGGGTACACGCACCTGCGTGCCCTTCTCTCTCCTCCCCAGGGCCCCGCGGGGAAGGCAACGCAAAGGGCACCGGCCATACCCACCGCTGAGCGCAGCGGCCCCCCGGGCACGGGGCCGGGACGAGGCGGCGAGCGCAGGCAGCAGGAGAAGGACGAGGACCAGGCGGCAGGGCGGCGCGCGGGCCGGCACCGGGCCGGCGGGGCAGCGGCCGGGGCCGCGGGAGGCGCCGGGCAGGCTGCAGCCCGCCAGGGGCGGCCGCCGGGAGCTGCTGCCGGGCGGCTTCATGGCTCATCGCTCCCGGGCGCCGGTCCGAGTGACCCGCGAGAGCGCCGGGCTGGGCTGCGGGGCGGCTGCGGGCGGAGCTGGTCACGCCCGCTGGGCGCGCATGCTGCGGCCCCGGGCAGGGGTCAGGGGCTAGGGTCTCGGGGACGGCGGCGCGCCTTCCTCGGCTCTTTCCGCCTTTCGGAGAGCGGCCCGCAGAGGGGGTCCCCGCCGCTTCGTCAACTTGGAGCCTCCCCCAGCGGCTGCACCCTCCCAGTGGCGGGCGCGGCCGCACCAGTGACTGCGGGGGTTGCTGCCGGGCCTGAGGATGCTGAGGAAGCGCGCGCGGGAGCGAGCGGCGCGGGGACGCGCAGCGCGGGCGCGAGACTCGGGGACGCGCAGCGCTGTACTGCACCCCACCCTCCGTGAGCGCGCCCGAACGGGGTTTCGGGTGCGGATACTGATGCTCTTGCAGATGCTGATGCTGTAGCCTGCATGGGCCGCGCTGCGCATGCTCGACTGTGGGAGCCCCGGGGAGGTATGGGGAGAGGGGGTGCAGAGTGATGCAGCATCCCAGACAGTATCAAAAGAGATGGTGGCACCTCCAAAGATGTGGGTAGGGGAGAAAGAAGTTTCCAGTCAGGGATGACCCCAAAGAAGAAAGTGCAGGGGTTTCCAGGCCTGGGGTAGGCCTGTTCTGGCAACAACTTGCCAAGAAAAGCGACCCATCCTCAACACCCTCTCTAGTGCAGGGAAAACTGAGACTGTGCATTTTCCTTCTCAAACCTTTATTTATTTCCTTCCTTCAAATAAATATAAAGGGCTGCAACCAGGGAGGTAAAAATAGCTGTGTTCCTCATAGCAGCGAGTGGGATGACAGTGGGAAGCACTGTGGTGCATCCGCAGGCTGGCATCTGTGGGCACTGAGCCACTGGGATCCCCTCACAGGGTCGTGGGTCCTCCCTCCTTGTGCCCATAGGGCTTTGAAGAAAGCTAAATTCAGAAAGTGTGATGGGCCATATTTTGGAATTGAAGAAATACAGAGATTAGAAAGCAACCGTGGCAGCTATCTTGGGAAATTTATCGTTTGTCAACCAGCCTTGGGGGTGGGCAGGCATTTCTGAGAACACATTTCTATTTTTGAGATCCAGTCGTATCTTGTGCAGAGAAAGGGGGTATTTTCGCTCAGTGCTGTCAGTTCCCTGGTTTGGGTGGGTTAGCAGCCGCTACTAATTCTGGTGGTTCCAAATTAGGATGTGAGGCACATTTCTACCACAGGACTCCAGTAACACCAAAAGTAACTTATTCACTCTCCCAGGGATGGTCTGAGTAATAACAATGGTGTTTTATTCCATTATTGATATTTAAAATAGAGCTAAGGATATCTACTTGGAGAGGGCTAGAGAGGGTTCAAGAAGTATGATTAAAACTAAAGAAGCTACACTTACATCACCATCATCCTGTCAAGGCTGTTAGCCACCTTCTCTACCCGAGCTTCACCAAAAGAACTTCTGGAGACAGAAAGACGATAGGCCTGCACTCAGATCTCGAGCTGCAGAGCTGTTGAGGCGTCAGATATTAATTTTAACTTTTTCTTTCCAAATTTGAGCAGGAGTATTTATTGGGCAGATGGATTTAATTAACTAATGTCAACAACAGTTTTCATTCACCTTGTAGCCCTAGTTCCTAACATAATATCTAAAGCCCAGAGAGATCTCTTGGCTAATATATGGTCTATATGGTCAATGAGAAAGCCAGGAGATTGTCTCAAGTTATATTTGATATAATATACATGCTGAAAACAGACTTGGGAGACCAGAAGCCAGAAAGAAGGATAAAGGCTTCAAAGGGAGAAGGCCGGGAGAGAGGAGACTGTCCTGGCACAAGTTATTTCAATGATATCTCTTGCAATTGAGTTATGGTCTCTTACTGCTCTCTAAACAAACCTTCCAGCTGATAGGGAATGACCAATCACCAGCAGCTATAACCCACCACCCTATGCTTGTGGGGTGCAGGATGAAGTTCCTTTTAGTTTCTAACGAGAAGTGGGGATGCTTTACAAAGAAGGCTGCTGACTTATGCTATACAGTGCAAAGCAGCATTTATATACAGAAATGTAATGTTTACAGATACTGTTGGCAGCCAGACATATATCAGCAGGAGAGGGGGGAAAGGAGTAAACCACCTAGGAAAGTTTATTTATTGAGATTTGTTCTTTAACCTCTCTATTGAAATGAAGGTTAAAAACAGAACTATATATTCTTTAGCTTGCCAATTCATTATATTTATCCATTATTCTCATTAGGTCGTTTAAGATGTTTTGTTATAGTAATAGAGTTTACTTCTAAGTAGTATCAGTTTTACCCTCATAGTGCGTGAAGTTAGTGACTTGCTTGCTTGCTATCGAATGCTTAGCTCTGCATATGCAAATCATATTTTCCCTATCAAAGCTTGGCAAAAAAAAAAAGTCAATGGGGATGTAGTGTTTACCTATCATGTAAAGTCCTCAAGTGCTCCATTCCAGAAGCACACAAAAAACTATCTCAGTGTCTGTTCATCTGTGTGTGTATGTGCATGTGTGCCCCTGGGGCAGGGCCAGCAAATGTGGGCCTCCAAGAGGGTAGAAGGCTGTCCTGGGCATAAGGCCTGTTTGTATAATAATATTCATACTTTACATTCTTGCTTGGAGGAATATCCTCCCTGTTAACATTAATGGCTCCATGATAATCAGAGACAGCATCAAGTCCAGGAGCAAAAGATGTGTCTAATGTCTCAGAAAAATGGTAAATGCTGGGAGCTTCGGGACAGCCCTTAAGGCTGTGGAAAAGAACTCTAAAAACATGAGTGTGAAAATATATAATTTTTCAACTATGCAAAATATAAGGATGCAATATGAATTATATGAGGGGCTTCATGAATATAAAGGAACAGAGGTAGCTGCACTATCAGCCAGCTTGCCAGAAAGATACAAAGGCAGGCAGATTCCTGAGTTCAAGGTCAGCCTGGGACAGAGTGAGTCCAGGCCCAGGTATAGTAGAAATGGTAATTTCAGGACAGGGTCCCACCCAACAAGCTTAACGTCTGTGCTTAATAGAGGCAGGTAGATCTATGAATTCTTTTGTAATGTTAAAAGAAAATGTGTGTTTACTGTTTCCTAAGAATTAAGGTGCTAGGGTCACCAGATGCTGATTCTTAGGATATTCACAAAGAAACCTGGAATAAATGACTGAATTGATATGTAAAATCAAAGACTGGGCTGCAAGAGACAGCTATCCAGAGAATTTTTTAGAACAGCAAGAGAGAGCCATTTAGAGATCTGTCTCAAGCAGAACATAGAGAGAAAGCACTGTCTAGAGATCTCCAGAGAAAGCAGATCAGAGAGAAAGAATGCAGACCAGAAAGAAAGCAGGCTGGAAAGCGTCTCCAACAGACCCACGATTTGACCTTGTTTTACTGCTCCCAGACACCCTTTCACTCAGAACCCGCTCTCCAAGCCAAGACTGGTCTTTGGCATATTGGGGTAGCAACAGGACAGAGGCAACAAACTTGACTGGAGCAAAGAAAGTGAAAAATAAGAAGGCCAGGCTGAGTCCGGTACCAAAGGCACACCGGGCTGCTGCGGTCATCAGTGGACCTCGAGTGTAAATCTGGTCAGGACACTAGATGTAGAAAATTGTTGCTGTGAGGACCCATGGGGGAAAAATAATAATACCATGTGTTAGATTTTGGTGCGCAGCTTAGAACAGACAACACCAGACCAAACGGTTCCAAAGGTGGTGAGGGGGGGTTATTCAGGGCAGAGGGCAAAAGTGGGGGGAGAGAAACAGAAGATGGCGGAGAAAGAGGAGAAGTAGAGGACGCCCATGACCACATGGAGAGAGGGGGAAAGGAAGGGGGGAAGGGCGGGGGGCGGGGACAGAGAAAAGCTAGAGGCAAGAGAGTAAGAGAGAGAGGAGGGGTCAGGCAGCCCTTTTTATAGTGGGCCCGCCTACCTGGCTGTTGCCAGGTAACTGTGGGGAGGAGCTTACCTGGGTGTTGCCAGATAACTGTGGAGGTGGAGTTTAGACAGAATACTAACACCATGCAATATGGACACCAGTGAACACAAGCAGCATCCAGAGGGGACATTCAAGTACTCGCAAAAATGGCTTGCTGGCTTGGACAGGAAAGCTACCTTAAGGAGGCCTCCCTCTGCCATGGTCTGCTTGCTGATTTTAAAACCAATGAGACAGTTGGCCTGATGCAGAAAACAAGAAACAGAAATATTAGATTAGAAGGGATATGACTCAAAGAGGTTGTAAGATCCCCAACCGTCGGTCAGTGTACTTACTTCCAGACGCCCCTCCCTCCTCCCCCAGTGAGACACCAAGATGCAGATCAATGCAAAAGCAAGAGGTTTATTTTCTGGAGTATAGGGGTCGACCTTCATTTAGTCCCTCAAGGAGAGTGACTAGAAGACGACCCCCCGAACGGCTATTACAAGCAGTTTTTATACTTTTTAGGGGCACAGGTTACATCGGCAAGATTACAGTTCAAACTGATTGGCTAAGCATATTGACCTTTAAATCTATTGGCTAGCAAGCATAACACGCATTTGAACTCTGAGACTTTCCAGAGGGTCGGGTGACTATCAGTACATTCTGAGGATATTTTACTCAAGAATGTTCCTGTGGGTGGAGAATGGAACTTGGCCTATCCTTGACCCCAGGTGGGAGGGGGAAGCTGTAAGGAGGGTATGGGACTGGAAAAAGCCCTTAGGGTCCCTCAAGGTCCCAGGAGAGGTCCCCAGATGGTGAAAGCAGGTGAAAGGGGGAGTTTGACAGACCAGGTTCACAAGAACAATCAGAGTGGTACAGTAATTTGGCCAAAATATAAAGGGTAAAAATAGGTATTGGGTAAACTAGAAGCTGGTGATGAGAAGCGGTCGAGGGGAGAATACGAGCACAGACGCACAGACAAGGGCAGACAGGGCTGCCCCACAGTTGAGGAGTAGTTGCCATCACAGAGCATGGTTGAATATGTCACAGGTTTGACATCGGGAACTTTGCAGTGTCTCTTTACAGTGACTCCAACCTCTGAATCTACAGGTGGAAGACTTAAAG